TTAGAAATCCATCATCTATCTCAGCCTTGAATATACTGAATGACCCTGCTTCAACATCCCTCTGTGATAAGGATTCTACCGATTTGCCACCTTCAGAGAAAGAAAATTCTTCTTGTCTGTAATTAAATGTGTGACTCATTATTCTGAGGTTCTTTCTTCTGGTCATGGATTCTCCCACAGGGGAAACAATCTCCCACGTCTACCTTATCAAGCCTCCTAAGAATCAAAAATGTTTCCGTAAGGTCTCCTTTCATTTTTCTAAGCCACAATGGATACAGGCCCAAGCTAATGATCTTCTCTTCATAAGAAAATCTCTCCAAACCTGGGATCAATGTAGTGAACCTTCTCTGGATTGTCTCCAATGCCAGTTTACCTTTGCTTAAATAAGGGGACCAAAACTGTTCATGGTATTCCACCTCTAACTAGTGCATAGGACAGGTTCAGCATGACCTCCCTATTTATACGCTGCTCTATTTGAAATAAAGGCCAACATTCCATTTGCCTTCTGTATTACCCGCTGAACTTGTATGCTAGCTTTTTGTGATTCATGCACAACAACTCACAAATCCCTCTGTGCTGCAGCTTTCTGCAGTCTTGCCCCATCTAAATAAATTCAGCGCTTCTTCCTGCCAAAGTGCATAACCTCATACTTTACACATTATTGTTCCATCTGCCACTCGTTAAACCCATTTGTATCCTTCAGTAGACTTTTTGAATCATCCTCACAACGTGCCTTCCCACCTGTTTTTGTGTCATCTGCAAACCTGGCTATAGTACATTCACCTTCCTTGTCTAAGTCATTAATACATATTGTAAATTAACTGTGGCCCCAGCACTCATCTCCGTGGCACTCTACTGAATGGTTTTCTGTCCTGAAAATGTCCCCTTTATCCTAACTGTCTTCTATTAGTTATCTAGTCCTCTATTAATGTTCATATACTATCCCCAATACCATGAGCTCTTATTATGTAGCCTTATCCTTGTTGAATGCCTTCTGAAAATCCAACTATATTATATTCACTAGTTCTCCTTTATCCACCTGCTTGCTACCTCCTCAAAGAAGTATAATAAACTTTTCAGGGATGAATTCCCCTTCATGAAGCCTTGTTAACTCTGCTTGACTATATTATGTATTGCTAAATGCTGTACTGTTAAAATCTTTATAATAGACTCTTAATACTTTCTCAATGACAGATGATGAACTAAGTGGCTCGTGCCTGTTTAATAGCATTGATTTGGAGTTTGTGGTTAGCAGCAAAAGGATAGTGCTCACTACTGACATGAAAAATAGCTTCCTATAAAATCTGTTGAACTCTATATCTCCTATTATGGCGTTAATTGCATTCTGATTTCAATTAGAAATGACCTAGGGCATCCATGAAAATTAAGTCATCAATCAGTATGAGCTACCTGCCAGATTCCAAAATTCTCTCAAGCAGCAAATCATAAAGGAAAAAGTACCGATTATCATTTGCTTTTTAATATTTTTACATGTAGTATACTGTTAGGTATCTCTAATCTGTCCCTTGATCCTTCCTGCCATACTCTTAATCATTATTTCCCTTTTCTTTATTTGTTCGTGACATGTGGACAGCACTAGTTTAGCCAGAATTTACTGCACATCCCTAAATGGCTTGAAGAAGGTGGTGGTGAGCAGCCTTCTTGAACTGCTGCAATTCTTGAGACGTGGGGACATCCACAGTGCTGTTAGAAAGAGTTGTAGGATTTTGACCCAGTGACAGCAAAGGAATGGCAAAATAGTTCTAAGTCAGGATGGTGCGTGACTTGGAGGGGAACCTGCAAGTGGTGCTGTTCCCATGCATCTATTGCCCTTGTCCTTCTAGATGGTACAGGTCAGAAGTTTGGAAGGTGCTGCTTATAGAGTATTAATGCGTCACTGCTTATCTTGCGCATTCTGTACATGATACATCCTGCTGCCACAGTGCATTGGTCATGAAGGGAATGAATACTCAAGATGGTGGATGGGATGGAAATCAAGTGGGCTGCTTTGACCTGGATGGTGTCAAGCTTCCTAAGTGCTGTTGGAACTTCTCTCATCCAGACCAGCAGAAAAGTTTTCTATCACACTCCTGGTTTGTGCTTTGTAGACAGTGAACAGGCACTGGGGAGACAGGTGAGTTTCTCACTCCAGAATTCCTAGCCTCTGAACTGCTGTTTTGGTGACAGCATTTATATAGCTGGTCCAGTATAGTTTCTGGTCAATGGCAACCCTCAAAATGTTGATAATGTTGGGGTTCAGCAACAGCAATAACAGTGAATGCCAAGGAGTACGGGTTGATTCTCTCTTATTCCCTTATTGCTACTTTGATCTCTTGCTTTGTCTTCTCTAATTAATTTATTACATCTTCCTATTTTGATCTTTCACACTATGTAGTTTAAACTCCTTTGACAATAGCCCAATCCGGTCAATGTTTCCTTATAAGTAAATCCTTTCATCCCAGAAACTAAACATTGAGCCAATAAATACCAGGTCAGCCCTGCTGGGTGGTTATTTGTATTGGGGCTCAGAAACCATAGACAGAAGGGACTGGTTGTCCAAAATCTGCAATCAGATAAATCTGCCCTTCTGTTAGTTTGCAGATTCCTTTGTTGAAGGCTTCAGTTTAGTTGCTCCTTCACTGAAGGACTTGCATTTACTCACACAGGGCTGTAAACAATGATAAAGGGTGAGGCCATTCAACAGTGAAACCAGGGTGCATGTTTTTCATATAAGGCCAAGTGGAAATCTAAAATTGCCTCTCCTGAAATGCCAGTGGATGCCGGAGAATAATTGGTGCTTTGAAGGGAAATCAAGAGATTGGTCAAGAGTATTGAGGAATATGGAGGAACAGTGAGCAAATGGAGTTGCAGGTCACATGTTCTATGATTAACTAAACACCAGAAAAGGTTCAAAGAGCTGAACAGTTCCTTTCTGTTCCTGTATGGAAGTGAAATACAATAGACACTTAGCTATTGGCAAAATTGAACACTGGAAGTTTGGAGAAGGGTAACAATTCACAGACAGTCAGAGGGTAGAGTATTGAATGTTCTTCTAAAAGCAATGTTTCTATAGCAATAAGATCTGACAAACAGCAAAGTGACAATGAACTGTTTTAGCACCTGCTTTAGCAATGTTGCCCGAGATATACGAATTGCATATCAGGGAGAACTAATTTGTTCTTCTTCTAATAGTGCAATCAAATCTCTTGCCTCTGCCTGCCTGGGCAGATAGGGACTCAGTTTAACATAAATTTAAAAAAAGGAAGTGATGGAAAAATGTCAGCAGATCTGGCAGCATCTGTTGATGGAGAAACAGAGTTAACATTTTGAATCCAATATGACGTGGTCAGATCTGAACTTCAGTTCAGTTTCTCTCAGCATTGAATCATTTTCTCTCTCCAAGAATGCTGCTAGACATGTTGGACTTTTTCAGTATTTCCTGTTTTAATTTCAGATCTCCAGCATCCACAGTATTTTGCTTTTATTGACGCAGATTAACATCTCATCTGGTAGATAGCACCTCCAACAGTGTTGCCTTAGTACTGTCATTCCAAAACACCACTTTTCCACATTAATAATTCGCCAACAGTGCAGCATTCTTTCAGTGTTGTCCCTCAGCAGGACAGCGCAACCCCGTCCCCCTGCTCCAATACCAAAGTTCAGTGCTCCCCTGGGACCAAACTTCCAATACTGCAGAGCTTCCTATGTACAGACCCACCAACAATGCAGTGCTCCCTCTGTACTACCCCACCAAAAGTGCAACACTCACTCAGTAGTGTCCTTCCAATAGTGCACTACTTCTTCAGTACTCCCCCTTCAGCACTGCAGTGCTCCCTTAGTATTGCCCTTCCAATAGTGCAGCATGCCTGCAGAATTGGCCCTCGAGCAGTACCAAGCCTCTGAGAATGCAGAGCTTCTTTGGTGCTGGTGCACCAACAATGCATGACTCACTCTGTGAGTATCTCCAACCTGTTATCATTGCTCCTTCCAACAGTGCAGTTCTCCCAGTATTCAGACCCTTGAACAGTGTGAAGTTTTCACAACACTAACCCGTCTAACAGTGCAACATTCATATCAGCGATGAGCAGGACTTGAATCCACACTTTGACTCAGTTCGGACTCTGACTCCCTTCCGCTGAGCCTTTGTTAAACAATATTTCTTTTCAATTTGTTCCTCTGTAACCTGCAGTTCTAAAATTATATAATTATTATTTGGCCAGTGTTGCTGATTTCCAGATCACCAACAAACTGAAAGGTGTTGCAACTATCAGCTGCCCTCAGAATTCACTCACTTCAACCAGACTAAGCTGTGTGGGCTTGTTGTTGCCTCGTATCTCCATCTTGGTTGATGTCATTATCCCATCATGAAATGGTATGTTTTGTAACTTTTATCTGTTTATTCTCTGCAGTTTTACTTTCCTTACTTAAAGAAGAGTATTCTTGCCACTGCGTGAGTCCATTGAAGATTAGTCAATCTGATTTGTGGGAATGCATGACTTTCCTAACAGGAGCAATTAAAAAGATGATGTATACTCTCTAGCATTTAGAATGATAGGTGATCTCATTGAAGCATACAAAATTCTTGCAGATCTCGACAGTGTAGATGTTGGATGCTTCCTTTGGTTGGGATTGGGGGGTCTAGAATCAGCGACACAGTCTAAGAATACAAGATAAGCCATTTAAGACTGAGATGAGGAAGCATTACTTCAAGCAGGGAATTTTTAGAATTCTGTAAGAGGGGTACAGAACTCAATTATTGAGTATTTTCAAGATAGAGGTCGTTAGATTTCTCAATATTAAAGATACCAGGGGATATGGGAATAGTGCAGGAAAACAGTATTGAGACAGGAGATCTGCCATTATCTATTTGAATGTGGAGCAGGCTCATGGGGCAAAATGGCCTCCTCCTATTCCTATTTCCCATTTTCCAATGAAAGTGTTAAGAAAAGCCATCTCCGAACATCAGTTTCCACCTGGAGCATGACATCATTAATACTCACCTTTCCAGCAAGGATCAGCAACCCAGAATCCGTGTCATACAGCGGGATCAGTGATCTGGGGATTAGAGAGAGAGACCTCATCAGAATCACTATTCACAGCCTCAGTGCAACATGCAGAATCATAACCCTGTCTTTCAATACCCCCAACCTTACAAACAATTTCTGTCTGCAAAGTGAAGGGAAGAACCAGCCCAGATTCCTTTGATTTCTTTCTTCCTCCTCTGTTTATCTCATTGAGGAGTGGAGCAGACCTGATGGGTTGAATGGCCTACTTCTGTTCCTATCCCTTAAGGCCTCTCTGCACATAAGCCTTGTTCCAGTGCAGAGCGTTACTACAACTGGTTTTCAGACCGAAACACTAAATTCATGTATAAACAGCATGTGGTCAGAGCCACAATGGGAAACATGAGAAATAGACTGAATCAGTTCATAATGACTCTCACTTCCAACAGAGGGCAGACATTGTCTGTGTAATATTGGAGAATACAGGATACCCAGAAACTTAGGATGACTAAGAGGATAGGTAGGCAAAAAGGCGGGAAACATGGCAAGAAGGGTAGTCATAGGGAGGCGGGGGTCATGGAGGTGGACACAGAAGAGTTGGGGCTAAAGGGAGAGTGGGGGTCAAGACAGTAAATGGGGAATGCAAAAGGAGAATAGTAGAAACGTAGGGACAGTAGGACAAACACAGGTGGGGGAACAGGGTAGACTATGGTGGAGGACATGAAGAGGAGCCTTCGGGGAAGTGTGAGACATATGGAGAAATTAGGTTAAGTGCAGAGGATGATAGGGTGACAGGAAGAATATGGAAGGAGGATCAAGCGGTAGGAGGAAAGTAGTGTTGGGGTGGGGGGGGGGTTTGGAACACGGGGAGAGTAAAGTGAGGAGTAGAAAAGGGAAGTGTAGGGAATGTAAGAATGTAGAGGACTGCATTGAACATGGGTGGAAGATTTGAGACTTCCACCACTAAAACCTCTGACAAGATTCAAACAAACAGAAATCTTTTCACTTTGAATCATTTAAATGCTGATTCCCCGGAAGTGATTTGGCTCCAGTCCATATCTTGTCATTTTACTTGGAGTCTCACATTTGGAGTTTCTGCACGTTCAGAGCTGACTGCCCACCCCCCTTTCACTCTCAGCTCTCCATGCAAACAAAAGACTGAGCAGTTCCCACACAGCATATTTACATGTTCAACCTCCAGCCTTCCCACACTGGCAGTCACACAAGGCTCTGGCAATATCCCAGAAAGCATAAAATATCCAAACAAATGTTAAGTAACACACTGTACACCCGCCCTTCATTCACTCAATATGGTGAAAAAGACAACAGAGATTTGAAAAGCTGGAATGGGGTCTGGGAAGTGATCCCTCCACTAAACTTCATGTAAACACAACACTGACATCATGCATCCCATGGCAACACTTCATGTGAAAGTGTACAGATTAAATTTGATCAAACTGGAACTGCACAAACCTAACTCATACCCCCAGGATCAGAATTCCTGTCTATTTGTATGTGAAACTAATGTTAAATTAAAGCAGCCCAACTGCAAATAAAAATGAACAAGTTATATTTCATGCCTAGCTCCCCAAATCCAACAGCAACATGCCTTATATATACAGCAACTTGAACATAGCAAAATATTCCAGGGTGCTTCAGAACTCAATATCAAACAAGATTTGACAATATTTCAGTCCGTGTACAATAAGGTGTTCAACGTGGGCTGTATGTACAACTCCTGTCTCTGAGTCAAATGATAGTGATTTTAAATCCCACTCCAGACAGTGAACAAGTTAAGTGAAGCTTACAGAACTGTCAGAGCATTAGTGCTGAGAGATTGCTGGAGGGTCAGTAGCGAGAAAACATTGCATTGTCAGAATGGCAGCACTGAAGGAGTGTTCACTAGAACGGCAGCAATGAAGGAGAGCTGCACTGTCAAATTTGTCTTCTTTTGGTTGAGAAGTTAACCAAAGGATTCCATTTGCTCAATTAGGTTCATTCAATTGTGGCTACGGCAACATAGGAGGTAATGGAATGGATAGTGGATTGGTTAACATAAAACAATCAGATTTGGCTTAAATTGGCCAATTTCAGGATGGTAAACTGTAACTAGTGATGGAGCCTCAACTATTTATATTTTATGTTCATGATTTGGGTGAAGGAACCGAGTGAATTGTGGCCAAAATTGCTGATGATATAAAGTGGCAAAACAAATTATGAGGAGAACCAAAAGAGTCAATAAAGGGATTTAGATCTGCAGAAAATTGGCAGATGTGGAGTATAATGTGGAAAACTGTGAGGAATGGAAAAGCAGAAAGTGATTTAAATGGAGAGACACTGTGGAATGCTGTGGTACAGAGCAATATGGGTGTCCTTTTACACTAATCACAAAACTCAGCATGAGGGTACAGCAAGCAATTAAGAAAGCAAACTCAATGTTGCCCTTCGCTGAAGGGAAAAAGGAATATAAAAGTAGGGAAATCTTGTAACATTTGTGCAGCAATGGTGAGACTCAATATAGTGTATTCTGTACAGTTTTTATCTTCATATTTAAAGACAATATAGTTTCTCTGGTAACATTCAGAAGAAATTCATTAGATTGATTTCTGGGATGAAGGGTATTGTCTTATGAGCAGATTGGAGTTTAGAAGAATCAGAGGTAATGTTATTGAAACAAGATTTTGAGTGTGCTGCCACACAGTTCTGGCTGACCAGGAAAATCTCCTTGGGATGTGGTAGTCTCTGGCTAAGCAAGCATTTATTGCTTATCTCTAATTGCCCTCAAGAAAGTGATGGCGAACTACTGTCTTGAAATCCTTGGGATGCAAGTTCAACCACAGGACTGTCAGGGATGTACTTAATATACAAACGTACAAATTGAGTTCATATGGTGACCATTTATTTGGCTTGAGCCTGCTGCACCATTCAATAAGAACATGGCTGATCCTTTTGTGCTGGATATTCCACTTTCCCATTCATCTCCAATTACCTTTTATTCCCTTGGCCTACCAGGATCTACCTCTGCCTTAAAAACACTCAATGACACTACCTCAACCAACTGCTTTCTGAGGCAGAGTATTCTAAAGTCACACAATCCTGAAATCAAAATTCTTACTTGTCCTAAAAGTATAAAACCTAATCTGAAAACAGTGCACCTTAGTTCTGAAGTCACCCACAAGAGGAAACATCCTTTTCACATCCAGCTTGTTACGTTTGTTCAGAATCTTATATACTGCAATTAAGTCACCCTCACTCTTCTAAACTGCAGTGGAAACGAGCTCAGTCTGTCCAACCTTTTCTCTTAAGACAATGTCATATAAATCTAGTAAACTCTAACGAAAACTGTGGTTATGCCACTTGTTACTGCCTGCTGTTCAGAAAAAGATTCTTTTATTCCTACTCTTTGTTTTCTGTCTGTCAACCAGTTTTCTAACGATCTCAATATAGAGCATGGTGGCGCGGTGGTTAGCAGTGCTGCCTCAGTGTTCGATTCCAGCCTTGGGAGACTGTCTGTGTAGTGTGCACGTTCTCCCTGTCTCTGCAAGTGTTTCCACCAGGTACTCTGGTTTCCTCCAACAGTCGGAAGATGTGCAGGTTAGGAGGATTGGCCATGCTAACTTGCCCCATAACGTCCAGGCTGGGTGGATCAGCCGTGGAAAATGCAGAGTTACAGGAATAGGGTGGGAGACTGGGTCAGTGCAGACTCAATGGGCGGAATGGTCTCTTTCTGCATGTAGGGATTCTTATTTACTACTCCAAATCCCATGCATTTTAATTTTATATGCCAATCTCTCATGCGAACTTTATTGAAAGCCTTCAAAGAATCCAAGTAAACCACATCCACTGTGTTCCCCACCATGCCCCCATCAACTCTTACTAATCACATCCTCAAAAAATTCCATTGTCAAGCACGATTTCCCCTTTCATAATCCATGCTGCTTCTGTCTGATCCTGCTACTGTTTTCCAAGTGCTCTGCTATTAAATCTTCTTTAATGGACTCTAGTGTTTTCCCCAATACCAATATTAGATTTCCAGAAGGCAATTGATAAGGTGCCACATCAAAGGGTACAGTGGAAAATAAAAGCTCATGGTGTAGAGGGTAATATATTGGCATGGATAGAAGTGTGGCTGGCTAACAGAAAACAGACAGTATGAATAAATTGATCTTTCTCAGGCTGGCAGGATGTCATAAGTGGTGTGCCACAGGATTTGGTGCTGGGCCCTCAACTCTTTACAATTTATACAATTTATCAATTTTGACAAAGAGCCTGAAGGTATGTTAGCTAAATTTGCTGACGACACAAAGATAAGTAGGAAAGTGAGCTGTGAAGAAGCCTTTTGGAGCCTAAAAAGGGATATGGATAGATTAAGTGAGTGGGCAAATATCTGGCAAAAAGGAACATGGAAAAGTACGAAATTGTCCATTTTGGCAGAAAGAATAAAAAAGCATATTATCTGAATGGTGAGAAATTGCAGAGCTGAGATGCAGAGAGATCTGGGTGTCCTAATGCATAAATCATAGGAGGTTAGAGTGCAGGTACAGCAAGTAATCAAGAAAGCCAATAGAATGTCATAGTTTATTGAGAGGGAAATTGAACACAAGAGGAGGGAGGTTACTGCTTCTGTAGTACTGTGTACTGTACTGATCACCATACTTACAGAAGGATATTAATGCTTTAGGAACAGTTCAAAAAAAAGTTTGCTAGTAGGGACGCACTCTAGGACTTAGACAGCTTGGTCAGTAGTGGTGCTACTGAGCCACTCTAGGTGACGGACGTTGAAGTACCCAACCCAAGTAAATTCCGTGTCCTTGCCACTCGCAATGTTTTTCTTCCAAATCACATTCAACATGACGGAGTATTGATCCAACAGCTGAGGGGGATAATCAAGAGGTTTCCTTGCCCATATTTGACTTGATGCCATTAGAATTATGAGGTGCAGACAGGATTCCCATGCCAAATCCTTCCCAACCATATGTCATCACCACTGGTGGGTCATTCCTAGGTGGGACAGGATATACCCATGAAGCCTAGGAAAGGGTATTATGCACA